GCCGTATCTCCTGACTCCTGTTTAACTCGCTGTCGGCGGTTCTCGGTGTGATGTCTGAATCAAAATAACCATGTGGATACTGTACAAAACATGCGTGATCTACAAACATTACCCCTTATCGTTCAATCTGTACGTTATAAACATATCTAGACACAGATACAAAAAGAGACAGAAGTATAGTTCCAAAATATCTGTCGCGATGAGTGAGGTAGATTGAGATTATTTTTCAACCTTCTACGTGCTAAATCTGCCGCCCTTTTGTTTCCCGGCCAACAACTCCGTACTCTGTTGAGCCTGCACGCCCTCCCGCCCGCTAAACCCGCTGTCGTACCTTGTTAGGCGCACGAGCAAGGACTGAGACGCACCTGTGAAATTACCTCACCTGTCCGGCACCTACAACTACACCTACCGTGCTGAGCTACTAACAGTGCCTTCCCTTACTAATACCCAATACTAATACCAAAGTCCGCGGGGAAGATCTAATTCCGTGCCAAGATACTAACACGGGATTACCACATTTGAAAACATTTGAAAACGGTGTTGATGCATTGTTAAAAAAAAGAAAATACAGCATACAACGAGTAGTAGTGGCCTTGGCTTCCGGCCAATGAGATCTAAAATGTATATATATATAATACTACACTGACCGATCTGACGGTGTATACGTATAATCAAAAGATCACGGACTTTCTGTTACTAGTTACGATGGATAAAGATGAGCTTAGAAATGCCAACGTGTATACTCTTCATTTTGATAATTGCCCTCCACGTCGCGTTAGAATGTAAACTAGCTCGGGCGGATGTCAGTGGATCTCGACCTGCGAGTGGCTGGGGTGGGGGAAGTACGGGGGGAGAGAGAAGAAGAGAGAGAAACAGAGGAGGAGAGGAAGAGAGGAGTAAAGGGAGGGAGGAGGAGGGGGGAGGGAGAGGAGGGAGAGGAGAGGAGAGGGAGAGGGAGAGAGAGGGAGAGGGAGAGAGAAGGGAGAGGAGAGGGAGAGGGAGAGGGAGAGGGAGAGAGAGGAGAGAGGAGAGAGAGGGAGGAGAGGGAGAGAGGGAGAGAGAGAGGGAGAGAGAGAGAGAGAGAGGAGAGAGAGAGCGAGAGAGAGAGAGAGAGAGAGAGAGAGAGAGAGAGAGAGAGAGAGAGAGAGAGAGAGAGAGAGAGAGAGAGAGAGAGAGATCGAGAGAGAGAGAAGCGAGCGTCATCGACTAATCCCTCGCTACGGGAGATTGGCTACGGAGGCGCCGCGGACACGGAGAAATCAGAAAGAAAAATACATTTGGCGCTGGATCTGCGGCGAGACAGGATCCCGGCCGCGTCACCACTTATCAGGAGGTGTGCTTCGATTTCCTCCCAACAATGGCCTCACAAACCCCTTCTCCCCGCAACCCTCTCTTATTTCCTGTAACTCTATATCGCCTTAACCCCCCTCCCCTATGCCCCCCCAACAACCACTAAAGCGCCCTTGGTATCAAGGCCCCACCACGTCCGCCCCAACCCCCTCTCCCCCCAATTCCTGCTGCAGCGTTTTCAATACTTTTCCCGAACGCGGGTCACTGCTATGCCCCTTCCGCCTCTCCGCCTATCATGTCGATGATTCCTAGCATTCTTCCCTCCTGGTCTCCAGCACCCCCCCCCCTCCCCTTCCCTCCTCAGGTAGCTCGTTCTCCCTCTCTTCATTTCTTCATGCTTCGTCTTTCCTCTACTCTGTTCCCATTTCCCTGTTCGCTGGAAATGAAAACCGTAAAAAGGCGTAGATTAGAAACTCCCGACATCCCGGTCTGGTCTGATCGCCTTCAGCGTGTCTTCACCGCCTTCTCCTTCCAGGCGGACTCCCCTTTACCCCCTTCTTCCAATCCTATACGGATTTCTCTCCGTCTTGCTCCCGCTTTTTCCCTCGGCACTCGGTGACGGACGGCCCCAAGCCCCTAATTTTGGACCAGGGCTTGCTAAGGCTTCGTGAAGCCCCTCGGCCACATTGGTTTCCCTCCTCCCCTCCCCTCCCCCTCCCCCTCCTCCCCTCCTCCTCCTCCTGCACTGGCGCCGAGCTGAAACACACTTCCAACCCGCACGAAAACCTCCCAGTGAGAGACTAAGATTCTTGAGAAAAAAAAACACAACAATCAAACCTCAATCGCAATTAACATAAATTTCGGAAACAGATGCAAAAAAAAAACACTGTTTTTATGTCACTCTTAGAAACAACCTCTGAAAGAAAGGCAAGGGAAAAGTAGAACATGTTCATGAAACACGTAAAGGACAATATGTTAATACCCAAGTGAAACACCAATAGTAAATAACAGGTGATGATGACAGTATACAAACAAAGAAAACAGCCGTCATCATCATCATTATCCTGGGCAGCGGAGGTGATGACCGCCACGACTCCGCCTCCCCAAGGATGCTGCCACGCCTCGGGAGATGAGCGCGGCGTGCAGAGGAGATGCAGGGCACTTCTCTCAGAGAAGCAGGGAATCGTCCGGGGAGGGGGAGGGAGGGAGGGAGGGGGGGGGGGGGGGAGAAGCGTGTGAAGAAAGGGTCATGCATGCATCACAGGTATTACTTATGAGACAGCGGGGGAGGGGAGGGAAGCCGGTTGGCAGCTTATCCGCTGTCATTAAAAGCTCCCGAGTCGACAAGGAGTGAAAACACATGGAGGAAAAAGTATTTGATTACTGCTGGGCCAGATATATATTTTAAAATTGTAAAAAGAAATTAAGTAAAACATCCTCTTTTTTAAAGGCTGAGTAAATAAATTTGTAAATAAAAAAGAGCTATATATAAAAAGAGAGAGAAAACATGAGCACAATTAAACACTGGACCTCCTTCATCTAAGCCCCTAGAAGCCTCAGGGAATTAGAGGGTCATCCAGCAGGTCAGAAGGTCACGTGGGGTTAGTAAACAAACGGAGAACACTAAAAAGCAACACCAATGGTCATGCAAGCCCGCAAAGCCATCGATAGAGAGAGAGAGAGAGAGAGAGAGAGAGAGAGAGAGAGAGAGAGAGAGAGAGAGAGAGAGAAGAGAGAGAGAGAGAGAGAGAGAGAGAGAGAGAGAGAGAGAGAAGAGAGAGAGTAGAGAGAGAGAGAGAGAGAGAGAGAGAGAGAGAGAGAGAGAGAGAGAGAGAGAGAGAGAGAGAGAGAGAGAGAGAGAGAGAGAGAGAGAGAGAGAGAGAGAGAGAGAGAGGAGAGAGAGGAGAGAGAGGAGAGAGAGAGAGAGAGAGGAGAGAGAGGAGAGAGAGAGAGAGAGAGAGGAGAGAGAGAGAGAGAGAGAGAGAGAGAGAGAGAGAGAGAGAGAGAGAGAGAGAGAGAGAGAGAGAGAGGGAGTGGAGAGGGGGAGAGAGAGAAGAGTGGAGGGGGAGAGGAGAGTGGAGAGGGGGAGAGAAAGAGAGTGGAGAGGGGGAGAGAAAGAAAGTGGAGAGGGGGAGAGAAGAGAGTGGAGAGGGGAGAGAAAGAGAGAGTGGAGAGGGGGAGAGAGAGAGTGGAGAGGGGGAGAGAAAGAGAGTGGAGAGGGGGAGAGGAGAGTGGAAAGGGGGAGAGAAAGAGAGTGGACAGGGGGAGAGAAAGAGAGTGGAGAGAAAGAGGGAGGGAGGGAGAGTAGAGAGAGAAAGAAAGAGAGAGAGTGGAGAGAAAGAGTGAGAGTGAAGAGAAAGAGAGAGAGTGAAGAGAAAGAGAGAGAGAGTAGAGAGAAGAGGGGAGGAAAGGGAGGGAGGGAGGGAGGGAGGGAGAGAGAGTAGAGAGAGAGTGGAGAGAAAGAGAGAGAGAGTGGAGAGAGTGGAGAGAGAGTGGAGAGAGAGAGAGAGAGAGAGAGAGAGAGGAGAGAGAGAGAGAGAGAGAGAGAGAGAGAGAGAGAGAGAGTGAGAGTGAGAGTGAGAGTGAGAGTGAGAGTGAGAGTGAGAGTGAGAGTGAGAGTGAGAGTGAGAGTGAGAGTGTGAGAGTGTGAGAGAGTGAGAGAGTGAGTGAGTGAGTGATTGTTGTAGCCGATTGTTCCTTCGGTGAATCCTAACATGCTTATCTGAGATAAGATGAATGCCAGTTGATGTTAATGGTAAATATTGTTATCTACATTGCATCTACTTTACTGGAATGGATAAAGAACCTAGGCAATCGTGTACCGCTGTTGTAAGGTAAGAACTGGTTAGGCCTAATTTTGAAAGAGGGGACAAGTATTCATGCCGCGGTCAGTTTAACGCTATTACCAGCTAATGGCCAATGGAACGGACTAAAATGACCTTCCTAGTATGTGCATTGAATAGGAATTTTAACCGATCTGCGCCGAGATGCGGGCGTGTGTGTAATGTAAACTAATGTATTACCAACTTGCGTGAATGAAACAGAAAACCAAGGGGATCCTTATTACTGATCACATATACACAGGTGACAGTGTGTAAATGCACTACTAACGAGATACGTGTATGTTTGTAAGGACAAGTGGTCCGGGATGTGAAAGCAAGAGGAGGGATGGTATTGCACAGGTGTTCGGTCGATAATTGCAGGGGAATAATTTACAATATTTACAGTGTATATTCCGAGTGTGGATGCGCATCGCTGGCATGTGCAAAAGTGATATGAGGAACGCATGGTTATTTGCATGTATCTGTATGTATTCTGTATAAGTATAGATCTATCTATCTATATACAATTAATAGCAAGTGTGTATTCGATAACAGATAAAGACAGATAGATGGAGGGGTGGGAGAGGTGAAGGGAGGGAGGGAGGGAGGCAGGGAGAGGGGGAGAAGGGGGAGAAGGGGAGAAGGGGAGAGAGTGAGAGAGTGAGAGAGTGAGAGAGAGAGAGAGAGAGAGAGAGAGAGAGAGAGGAGAGAGAGAGAGAGAGAGAGAGAGAGAGAGAGAGAGAGAGAGAGAGAGAGAGAGAGAGAGAGAGAGAGAGAGAGAGAGAAGTGACAATGGCGAGCAGACAGGTTATCATGGAGTAAAAGAATAAGACATGAGCAGCAGCAGCAGCAGCAGTTGCATCAGCAGCACTAATGTGGATGACCTACCTTTCCTTGCATTAATAGTCTCATTGAAAGGGAGGCTGAGGGTCCTTCGGTGGACAGGGACTTGTTTTCTATGGTGGCCATGTTGCCTGTGGTGAGGGCGGGACCGGGGGACCCTGGGTATGGGGCCAGACTAGAGTCCGTGGTGAAGACTAAAGGCGTGGGCGCACCAGAGGATGGTGTGCTCCAGGCAGGGTCTCAGAGTGTGGAGTGGGCAGCAGGCTGGGCTGGGCTGGGCGGTGGGTGGTCACGAGCGGGGCACGGGCGGGCACGGGCGGGCGGGCGGGCACGGGGCGGGGCAGCGGGGCACAGTGGGGCAACCACGGTCTGTGGGAGGAGACACCACGTCAGTCACCACCATCCACATGGCTCCACTCATTCATACTCAGGTAGACCCACACAAACACATACACGTCGTGGGGCACTCGTGGATAGGCATTCACACAAGAGGGTGGGCACAACTGATACTCATGGGGGCACACAAACATACACTCACGGAAGGGCATGCACGTTCGCCCACTCTTCCAAAAGCTTTCGTCCACAGCTCGCAAGACGCTCGTGCGAGCATCCGCCAAGGTACACGTACCGCCAGGACATTCATAAATCATACATACAAGGTAACCTCAGGAACACACTTTCCAGGTACTGTGCACACGCCATACATGTCAACATACAGGTTAGGAATTTATGAAGGGCATATTCATGTGTTGGGTCACTTAAGGGGGTATAGACAAATAAGTTTACTTATAAAAGCATACGAATAGGTCAGTTTACTCATAAGGATTATATGTATACAGGCACATTTTGTTCCTACTATTAGGATACAAACACATACATACTAAGTTATGATGATTACTATATTGCATCCTGTCAAACAAAACATACAGGTGGTACAAATACAATAACTCAGACATCCCTAGGACCATAATGGTAAACACAAGGTAAGAAAACGGAAATGCTTGGTCAAACTGAAATAAGGTTGTCATAAGGTCATCTGAAGACAGGTCCAAGACAAGTCGTGGGGCCACATGGAGGACCAGTCATGCTTCCACAGTTCTGAAAGGATAATTCTCGGGATGGTAGGATCTAACTGTCCACAGAGAAGTGTTCCGGGGCACACAGCCTAGAGGAGTGCGTACAGACGTGCACGCAAGGGCACAGACACACGCACACGCACGCTAACTCGGAAGGTGAGTCGCAACTGGAGACATTCACACGCCAGGATACGAAAGAAGGCAACACTGCGTCAGACTCACGTGGGAGGCCAATACACCTACAGGTTAACTACTACTGGTATATCGAGGACCTTGAAAGGAGACTAAATATGGGAGGAAAAAAACTCACGTATCTCTCCCTTCCTGTTTCTACTCCCCTGACCCAGCTCCTCCTCCGTCAGGTGGCGGGCTTCCAGGCCCGACCTTGGGCCGCTCAAGTTAAGAATGCAGATCACAGCTACTCCCATCTCTAACCCATGGCGGGGTACACAGTCTCCCGCCGAACTGCATCTTCCGCTTTTCTTTTCTTTTTTTTCTGTCTCTGCTTTTGAGGATCTGAAAGCTTCGGAGTCCGAAAACGCGTTGCTATCGCGAATGCACGCGCCGCGAACCGCATCCTCTCCGAACACACGACATTTGAGCCGAACAAGAGCGGGATACATTCGCATCTTTCTCTCGGGAGGGCATCTTTAATCTCTACGGGAGCAAGAAACATCCTCTCAAAACCCTCTCGTCCCCCGCTAGCCAATACGGATAACATCTTACCCCGCGGACTCACGGCTACCAAGCATTCCCTAAAGAAAGGAAGGCAGACGGGGAGAGAAGAGCGGGTGGGGTAGGGATTGAGAAGGGGAAGTGAGGGAGAGAGAAAAGGAGGAATTGACAGATAGATATGATAGAAATAAGTAGAGAGAGAGAGAGAGAGAGAGAGAGAGAGAGAGAGAGAGAGAGAGAGAGAGAGAGAGAGGAGAGAGAGAGAGAGAGAGAGAGAGGAGAGGAGGGGGAAGGAGAGAAAAGTAGAGGTAACCTGCATTCACCTAGACAGGCTACATCACCCCCTTAGCTTTCCCCAACTCACTACAATGAGGGTCAGGGAGACACACACACACACACACACACACACACACACACACACACACACACACACACACACACACACACACACACACACACACTCAAATACTAGCCATACTGTACAGAAGAAAAAATAAAGGTGCTATTAGAAAGAAAATAAGAAATTCTCTAATCGAGACGGATGCTTCCTCGAAATAAAGCAATGGATCCTCTCCGTTTCAAAACAAACAGAATGAGCACCTCGATTCTGGTCTGCCGACGACATCTTCGCAGTCTACGTTCGTGATTCTACCAACAACACGCCAAACCAAAAAGGATGACTAAAAACAAAATGAGCGATATGAAGTGATACGAGGAGAGGAGCGGAGGGAAGGACTGAGCCGTGACACAGAGGGGAAGGGAAAGGGGGCAGCACCGATCAGCAAGAACCCACGCGCTTCTCCCAGCCGCCTACTACAACCGCACACAGGCCTACGGGACTACCCTGAAAAGATGAAAAGCAGAGAACTTGGGCGGCTTCTACCGTACAACAGATTGGTGGTGGGTGTGATTGGGGGATTGGGCTAGATACGGGTGTGCAAAGAGGAAAGCGGAGTCTACGGCGACGTCTTAGATACTTACCTGCCGCCGTCATAGCCATCACCATCATCATCATCATCGCTTAGCGAGTGGCCGTTACCAACCTACCTATCTACCCATTCCCCCCTTACCCTCTACCCCTTGGTTTTCCAGAGCACAAACGGTCACTGATACACTCGCACCTGCTGCCTCCGAGGACAGCACAATCGTAGTCACATTTTCTTTCCGGCTATAACAGGTTTCAAGAATAAGAGAAATGCTTGCATGTCCACCTATATCGACATCCATTACCTCATGCATTATCCTGCACGTGTGACAACTTTAACTGGTTGAAACTTGCAACAGTTAAATACATCTGCGATTACGTTAAGCTTTAGCAAGAGGTTCGTATCACCCTATGACTTCTGTCGCCAATCGTACAACACGCGTTCTGCCCTCTCGACATGCCTAAGAGAATGTATGAAAAAGTTTGGAAAGCCAAAGCAAAGAAAGGGTTAGGAAATACGCTGCCATGTTCCGTGTATCGGGGTTCGCGGGCCTGTTTCCATGTAATTATCGCCTCTAATTTCTCTCGCGCGCTTGAAGGGAGAAAAAAAGGATGAAGAGAAGATGGACGCTAGGCGTTTTCATTCCCCGAGTGACGCGATACGTATTTGAGTAGCCAGCGGGCCCTAGTCACTATATATATAGAGAGAAGGCCTGACGCGGTGGCAAGCGTTGGAGCGTGCCCCCGAGCCTTTTCAGCTGAACGATATAGGTATTGTTGTGGTGGAAAACGTAGTGATTCCAGAGTAAGAAGGGGCGATGCTTTCACGCTAAGCGGTGCGTACGTAGTGCGCGGCATGGCAACACCAGCCGACAGTGGTGCGCGCGCTCGCCCCGCTATTTACCACTCTCCGGCGCAGCGCGGCAAATGGAACCAGGGCGCTCATACGGAGCGCACGCACCGGGTGTCTACTCAGTCCGACACATTCTCGCTAACTCGCGAATTTCCAAGGTCACTGCCCTCCTCCGGATGCACCAAAATAGAAGTACTGGCAGTATGTAAAAGTCTACAGCTTTCTATAAGTGCGTCCCCCCTCCATCCGGCCCGGCTTGGGAGTCTCTCCATCTCTCTACGTTCCGATGATGCTATGGCCCATCGCTGCTCGCAATCTTGGAATACATACGAGGCGAAAACGACCAACAAAGAAAACCACCAACTGGGGAAACAAAAGAATGGGTATATTATCGCTCTTCTTCCGACGTAACAATTACGACAGGCCGTCGAGGCCTAGTAAACATTTTTTACACGGGCTCGTAGCGATAACAGAGTGCTCACTATTTTTGAGTGATATGTGATCCTTGATGCCGTGGTGCGGTAACATGAGGCGGGAGAAGTATTGAAAAGCGTCAGGTTGCCGAGCATTCTCCCAATTAGGTCAACAAAGGTGCGGAAAACAGTAAGCCCTCAGCCCGGCGGCGCCTCCGACTTGAAGGCGGGCGCAGCACCGTCATACCTCCCAACCCTCCTTTACCTATATCCTTTATATCTCAGGCCGAGTGGTCCAGTCAAACAATGCGGATTTCGCGCTATGCCGCGAGCACGCTCAACCAACTCCAACCACCCGGCGTGAATCCGGTCACAGAGAGTGGGTAAAAGGATTGACATAAAAGATAAAAGAGTAGGGCTGTGTCAGTACATGCATGGATCTAAAAGTGGCGAGCGAGGGACGAGGCTGCCTAGGAGGCACATGGGGGAGAACTATAGAGATATAGAAGGAGTATGACCCCGTAAAGAGGACCATTCACAGTTTTCGTCGCTTCAAGCTTCGCTATATTTAACCCACTTTTAGGCCTCCGCGCCTTCGCTCTACCACAGGCACCCACCACAGGAGCGGATAAGCATTCCCGCTTGCCACCCCCTCACCCCCCCTACACACACCCTCAAATTCCTCCCCGCGCAAAGGCGGTGCGTGCACGGGAATAAGACCAGCGAATACGCACGCACACTCCATATAACATCCCTCTTATGTGGTGACAATACTCCACCTCTATGCACCGGAAAGATCCTGTTTTTATACAAGGCCGGTGGGTGATGAGGGGACCCGGTCTCATCGACCCTTGACGGATCCGACGAAAACCGGGAGGTGTGCCGCCGCGGATTTACCTTGGGGACGGGCGGGAGGGTCTCTCGCGATTATCGCGAACGACCGCCACAAATGGAAGTTAGACTTTTCGGGGTCCGCCTCGTGTTAACTTTAAAACAACACTGGCGGGTGAAGATGCCGAGCTGGTTACTGGCTGTTCTGGCAGACGCCAATAACAATACATGTATCCGTGGAGAATCCCCGTCCAACCGGGATTATCCGCGCCCCTTACTTAATAATACGTCCAGAACGATGGTCTCGCGCGCGCCGTCCTGACCAGACAGAGGGATTCGCCGGGGTAGAGAGTCACTCGCGTCACGCGGACGTGGTGCGATTACTCTGCGGCGCGGTATAGTCGCAATGAGACTTCCTATATCTCTACAGTATACACTTTCCACGAAAACCTAATTCAATACTAGAAATGACTGCCTCTCGCAGCTGACTAGATATTTGAGATATACAAATACAAATAACTCCGGATGAGAGTGGTGTCATACTCATCGGCTCCGCAGCCCGCGAACGGAGCCGCGCGCTCTCGCGCGCTCGGCTCGAGTATCGAACAACAGCAAAGAAATAAAAGCCAAAGTGCCTCGCGCGATGAGTGCGCCGCACGCTGACCGGGCCGGCCTTCGAGTTGGCAAGCCCACTCTTCTGTGCCCCCGGCCATGACCGTGCAGTAGGATCACCCAACATGCTCAGACAACCTTTAATCGGAAGCGTTTTTCCTAATAATAGGATTGCTATCATCGCGTTCTGATCACCGGTGCGTGATCGCACCGAAGGCATGCACGGCAGTCCGCTACTCTCTCCGAACGCCAATGGGAGCGGGATACCGGAGATCTGCTTATGTGCAATCGAGACACTTAGTGATACATTAACCTTTTGCCGTGCCGTGCGCAGTGGGCGAAAGCATTCCGGGCCGATTGAGAACGGAAGCACACTCATAAGAAGATTGCACTACGGATGGATCCCTCATAAATCTTGTACGCAAAGGAGCACCCATGATGAGACCTAAACAGAGCTGCTGCCGCAGAAGCGGACTGAAGTATATACTTATACGTCGAGGAAAATACTTTTCATTACGGAGGACTGCGCGCGTTGCCGTTGCTCGGGATCCTGACAACCGCAATTCTGGCGGCTGGGTGCTCTCGCTGCTCCTTGGGGGATTCGTACATTGTTGATCTCGTGGCTGAAGCGGAAGCGTCACATCCGGGCCCCTCGCTGCAAACCTCTCTCTCCCCATATCCCACTCCGGCCTCATCTTACGGCGTCCATTTAACCTTTTCCTATCCCTCTAGCGACACCTCGCCACATGCGCGCCGGGCCTTCCCCTCTGTAACGCACTTTTTTGTGTGTTATTTATACACGTATGACAAGTGTTCCCCCGCGCCGACACACACGAGAGGGGAGGCCGCCCTTCCCCCCTCCCCCCTCTACCAAGCGTCTCTCTCACTCTCTCTCGTTTCTCTCCTCTTCGCCCGCTCCCCACCACCACCACCACCACACACAGTCGCGCCACACAAGCTCCTGTTCTGCCGATCATTATCAACATGAAACACGACCACGGCTTTAGTCAGACTTTACCGTTACCGTCAGACAATGGTTGGCGTGGTAGCGGCGGCGGCGGCGAGTGGAGAGGTCGCCGGGAAGAGCGGCGTGAATGCGAGTGTACAGCGGTGAATGAAAACTACCAGCGGCCCAAAAGGCTTCCTCAAACTTGGATGGAGGTTAGCGTGGCGGCGGCTGAGACAGCGGCAGCCAGCATCATGTTCTCAGAGTCGCTACACCAATAAGACCCACACATCCCTCTCTCCCTCTAAACGTATTGGCCTGACCTCACGTGAACCTTAACATTATATGCTACTCGTTCAATCTCTATAAGCTAAGATGCACACTGATTCTAAATATATCTTGGGAGCAACACAGCGAGTATTAAAATGTACATCGGCAGTGGCAGGCCACAGCAATATACCCAAAATCTTTGGCTTTGCTTTCACACAGTGAGTCTGGACACAGTTTCTGTCATAGACGAGCTTTACTCATCACCACCGCCGTTGTGCGTTAGACAGAGTGTATGCATCACCATCACTACTACGCAGACTTCTATAAAATAAAAATTGCGCCTGGGGCTTCGGAAACTAAGCGAAAAACTCTTTCCACACCACAGGAGCATCATCTTTATCACCACCGAGTATCATTTCCATTGTAACAAAAATAACAAAAAACTCGTTTAACGAGTATCGTATATCACTTGATCACTCACATCAGCGTTCGTAAAACAGTATTATCCCAGGGCACACACACAGTATTGAAGTAAAACAGGAAGAGAAGAAGTAGCCCCGCTGTTGAAGAGAGTGTTTGGAGCGGTGTAGGTGGCGGGAGCGTGGCGTGGCGCCGGCCGGTTTGGGACCAGTACTAACCGTAGCGTGCGTCCAGCGGCGGCGGCGGGGCTTTTGTAAGTGATGAGTGAGTGTGTGTGTGTGTGGACCTGACGAGAGCGCCGGGGAGGGACGTGCGCACACCACCGACGGTTCCCAGGTGAGACTGCCGCCCGGCTTCGCTGATTGCGCGCGAACCACAGGCAAGATGGTGGTGGCGTGTTGTGAGGAGTAGTGGTGGTTGGAGGGTAGTGGTGTGGTGTATGGTAGCCGGAGTTGCGAGGCTGGTGATGGTGCTGGCGCTGGGCACGTTGTGCTGGTGGATGCCGTAGGTAGATTGCTTGCGGTTGCGGCTCGCTTTTCGGCGTTATTTACCAATTGAGCTCGTGATCCTGGTGGAAGGAGAACTCGCCGAGTGACGACGAGGAGAGGGTTGGCAACAAACAACAATGAATGTTTTGATGCCCAAAGAGCAGAGGGGAGAACAACGAAAACAAACGCGCGCAAGCGACCAAGGCGATAGAAAGAATTCCTCGCGAAATTCCCAAGCAGTTTTCGAAGGAGAATGAGGAGGATCTGTGAATTTGTATCACGGCCAAGTGCGCTTTTAGAGAGAGCCTTTGCGCAATAACTCGTGAGGGATTACGCTTAGGTGGGTCAGGGGAAAAGGGGAGAGAGGGAGGGGGTGCAGGTGAACCCCCACCCAAATCGCTGCAAATCCAGCCTCGCCTTTCGCAACCCCAACCCCGGGATACATGAGAGAGCAGCAGTAGTGATTGTTTTATACCATGCACGCGGATTCCTTCGAACCGATCCGCGCAGGTGCGATTTTTCATGTTAAATTATGCAGGTAAATCTTTCCTCGCATTGAATTATGGGTGCGAGACTCCCTCTCCCCCCGTTAAATTATGCGTTTGGGATTTTCATGTTAAATTGGGCGGTTAAAATGTTCATTACCACCAGGTACTGCCGACGCTAGCCTCCGTCCAACTCAACCTCCATTTCTCTTTCGTTTACAAATTTGCATATCATACCACCCGCCGTAGTGTATCCCCTCTCTTCGACGCGTCCCCCTACCCATGCGATTATAAGGTCGTACCAACTAGGACGACCTCCCCCACCTTGCCTTATACGCCCGACGCACTACTAGGAAGTCCCGCTACTGCAACCCCGGGACAGAATACTGAGAGGAAGAGGCAGATAGATGTACAGACTCAAGAGATTGAGATAGATGGAGAGAAAGAGAGGGAGATAAATAGATAGCTCGACAGACAGATAGATAGAAGGCGGAAGGGGAGGGAGCGGGAGTAGAGAATAAGAGAAAGAAAGAGAATCGGAGACAATCAGCTAAATAACGCCGTTGCCTAAATCCAGCCTCCGATCATGCAGGCGGAGAGATCTATCACATAAAATCTTCTTGCACCTGCGCTGAGACTAAGCTGATGCAGACACGATGTAAACAACCTTTCCACAAAAAAAAAACGAACGTTTCAATATAGGAATAACAAATAATAAATAAAACTGGTAGCAGTAATAATAACAATAATGATAATCATAAAAAAGTAGGCTAGTAATAATAAACAACAATAATTGATAATAATAATGATGACAATAATTATAATATTAATTAAAATAATAATAATAATACTTCATAATATACTCTTTTAATATAAATATTAAAGTAACTTATGGTTTTCTTTGTCTTTTAAAACAAATTACTTTTTTTAAGCGCCATGATGACCCTTTCCTGAAGAGGGAGGGAGAAGGAGAAAATGAGAAAATGGAGTGGAACAAAAAAGAAAGGGGGGTGAGTGAGTGAGGAGAGCGAATAATGAGTGAGGTAGAGATGCGAAAGAAATAGATGAGAGAGAGAGCCAAAGCAATGACAGTTGAGAGAGAGAGCGAGGCGAGCTGAACGAGAGAGAAAGAGGAAAGAAAGAGAGAAAGAAGAAAAAGAGAGAGAGAGAAAGATACCGAGAGAGAGAGAGAGAGGAAAGAGAAGAAGAGAAGAGAGAGAGAGAAGAAGAGAAGACGAGAGAGAGAGAGAGAGAGAGAGAGAGAGAGAGAGAGAGAGAGAGAGAGAGGAGTGAGAGAGAGAGAGGAAGAAGGGGAGGGGACGAAGAGAGAGAAGAGGGCGGGGTGGGGGGGTGGGGGGGGGAGGAGGAGGGAAGGGGGAGGGGGACAGGAGAGGCAGCAAGTAAGCAGTCTACGGAGGAAGCCTTAGGACTTGCTTGCTGACCCGAACACGAGCTTGGTTCATGGATTTGACTTCCTCTTCGTACACAACTCCCGACTCGAATAGCCCAACTCCGTCAATTCCATTTGCAACAACAAAAATAATAATCACTATAATAATAGTAATAGTTATAATAATAATAATAATAATAATAATAATAATAATAATAATAATAATAGTAGTAGTAGTAATAACAATATAAAAATAATAATAAATAACAATAATAATAATAATCATAATAATAATAATAATGATAATAATAATAATAATAATAATAATAATAATAATAATAATAATAAATAATAAAAATAATAAAAATACTAAAAATACTAATACAACAAAAATAATAATAATATGCAATACGTACTGATAACAAAAAACGTCTTTAATCATTAAATCAGCATACAATTCCCATGAACCGAGGTTTAACAATGCTGCCTTCGGGTCAAAGAATTGATTGACAAAAAGCTAAATCAAAAGGCAGAGTAAGAGGAAAGAGAAGGTGGACCAGGTATGAAATATAGATACATAGATGGATTGAGAGAAGAGAGAGAGAGAGAGAGAGATAGAGAGAGAGAGAGAGAGAGAGAGAGAGAGAGAGAGAGAGAGAGAGAGAGAGAGAGAGAGAGAGAGAGAGAGAGAGAGAGAAGAGAGAGAGAGAGGAGAGAGAGAGAGAGAGAGAGAGAGAGAGAGAGAGAGAGAGGAGAGAGGAGAGAGAGAGAGAGAGAGACGAAAAAGCGAACTAGGGAAGGTGGGGGAAACGAATAGATGCCTCTCCCATTCTTCTTATCTATTTCTATATCTATTCTATATATATATATATATGAATATATATATATATATATATAACATATATATATTAAATGTATATAAACATATGGTCATATATTATATCAATACGTATACACACATTATGTACAACATCACACCACACACACCACACACACACACACACACACACACACACACACACACACATATTATATA